ATAATTGCTTACACTTATCTTGCTTTTCTGGACACTCCACTCAAAGTGCTTTTACAGGTAATAAGGACTCTCCTCCACCACCACCAATGTGCAGCATCCACCTAGAATATCTGGAGAAGGAAATAAGTGTTGAACAAAGTGAGCACCTTGAGTACCTGTAAATCTCTTTGCAGTGGTTTATAGAATAACTTTTCTTCATAACACCCATTATTTTATGCAATTGATTTGTTTTATTTAGTTTCTTGCCAGAACAGAGTTGCAATCTGGAAACCTCTGGTAGCACTGCTACTGTTTTTACATTAGTGTATTCTAAATGCATGTAGAGGTAGATGTTCCTTTCAGTTTCAGACTGAATTTCAGATAATTTATTTGCTGTGCAATGCAAAAAAAAAACTTCTCCGTATTGGTTAAATACAAACTGCAGAACAAAGTACACTGATTAGTGATCAGCACTGCAGTGATGTGTCATTATTAAAGCTGATTAGCTGTGGAACAACATTTAACCTCAAGTTGAGGCTCTTTTGCCTTGTCCTCAGAATGGCCTTGCAGCGTCTGCTTCTGCTAGAGAATTGGAAAATGACCTTTACAGAGGGAAGGATATAGGGGACAAAGCAGAACTGGGACCGTGGAAGGCTTCAGTCCAATACTGTACTGCCTTTTACTTGAACACCTGAATGTTAAACACTTCAGCTATATAAGCAGTATATGGCTATAAAGTATTCCCCTTGAGTGTTTTTACTGATGTGGGTCTCATGCCCCCTTGCCTTCCTTATCAATTATTTTTTTTACTGCTTTGTACGGGCCCTGGACACATGCTGTCCTGGACCTTGACATCTGTGATCCAGTGACTCTGAAGAGAGCTGGAGCCACTGAGTCATCGCCCCTTTGACGTCGGCCTCAGGTGGGTGACGGGGATGAGGCTGCCTTTTCAGAGCAGCAAGCTTTGCAAGGATGCATCGGACAGCATGCGATTGGCTCCTCATACAGAAACGGAGGAGAAGACTCTTTGTTGTGTTAGCTGTGAGAAAAAACATACATTGTTAGTTGGAAAAATAGCTTTATGCTGTCTTTCTTTATAATTTCAGATTCCACTTTATATTTGCTTCGGAAGTGTGAGTCATCTCGTCTCTATGTAAGCTTCAAGCATACTTGGTGAGGAGATTTCCTGGCAACAGTTCAAGGCTGACAGTTAAATGCCTGTAAAAGACGTTTCTTACGTAAAGTTAAGCAAATAATGATTTCCTGAGAATAGCCTAGAGCTACTTTGGAACAGATGCCCAGCAAACCTATGAAAGCCACTGTAGTGTGGCACGAAGGTGCTCTCTCAGAACACAGGTTCAGACATTGCCAGTTGGAGCTTGGCTCCTTCGTTGTTTCGAGTGTGGCTGGAATTTCTCCGGTGGCGGTGCATAGTTGGCTGAGTACAGCTGGGGTTCAGTCTCCCAGCGCTCCCTCCACCTTTGGAGAGGCAGAGACTCCTCGACCCTTCTGAGTGCGGAAGAGCTTGTGATGTTGTTGGAGAAAGATGCCATTACTCCAGTCAAATCATCTCCCGGGCTCTGACAGAGGGCACTGGGGTTATACCCATAAAACTGACTTGATAATATAATTAACTCTCAACTCGACATTACGAATCAGCACTTCTATTGTTTGCTGGCCCTCATAATTTTGTTTAATGTGCGAACTTCAGTAGCTTATTAACTACACAGGAATCTAGCTCAAATTTAAGCAGGGTAGTGGTTCTAATAGAGATCCCTGTGGTACGCGATTAGTTACATTACCCCATTAAGAGCATTCAGTCCTTATCTGCTCTCTTTTGTTTTCTGTTTAATAACCAATTGTCAGGCTAAACCCTAAAATCTTCCACTTCTATGGATCCTTTCTACTATAGAAAACTGTGGAGCTGATTATTGTGAAGGTCAGTAATGATACTGGTGTCCTGGGAGAGTTGGCTTTGTCTGATTAAAGACACTGGAAGTGAAGACTGTCCTCGAGGTGTTAATGAGGGAGTGAAATATGCCAGTGGGTAGGAGCTCTGAAGGCACTCTCTCCCTCTGCAGTGTGTGGTCTGGAATTTTTTAGGGATCGAGCACGATTCAGAATGTTAAGTATTTGGGAGGTTTTCTGTCATAGTGTCGGCACTCCTCATTTCTGCCTGTTCTACAGCACCTCATGAGCAGCACAGCACTGTGTACTGTGTTTACTTTCAGAATTTGTAGTTCTCCAGGCTTGTCCTGCTTCTGCTTGGGTAGTCGGGAGAAACCTGCATGAAACCCTGGAGCCAGGATGCCATTTTTGGGATTGTACACCCCATATTGGGCCACCTATCTTCACTTAGCTGAAGTTCTGTAATTGTGAGCAGTGTGACTCACTATAAACCTAATGGCTTCTCTCTCATTTCACTCTCATCATACAAACTTTAAAAACAAAGTACTTTTGTATTCAACAACATGGGGCACCATTGCAAGGGGGTAAATACCTTTAAAAAGCACTATTTACCAGTTTCAGGCTTTAACACATTTATTGCTTTTCTGCAAATTGTATTTCTGTCCTCCAGGGAGGAGAAGCAATATTGCAGCTGTGCTCTGGAGAGAGACAGTCTAACGCTGTGGACATGGAGATATATGGAATAATTTGAAATGGAAACATCTTTGTCAGTCATGGTGAAGATCAGAGTCTCAACTGATACAATCAGCATTTTGCAAGCTCTGGGGAAATTAGGAATTTATCTGTCTTTGCTCAGTGAGTGGCACTTGGGAAAGTTTCTAGTGTAACTTTACTCTGTATTTTGCAGTTATCAGATTAGACAGTTGGAGGGTATTTGCATCATGAAATTATTTTATCTGGATTGCCCACATCTTTCCAGGCTTAGTTTTTACCATGTTTATGGGGCTCTCTGGGGGCTCCTTCTTGCGGTGGTTAAGGCTCAGGACTGCTCCAGTCAGGCCAAATGTACTGGAGGGGCCAGCTTCTCCAGGGGGGAGTTGTGTATTCCCATTCCACTGAATGCTGTAGGAACTGGGATAGGCTGAGTATGAACTCTCAGTGATTTATTGGGCTGTGCTCTGCAATCGTCCTCAGTGCCCCAGTAGAATTGCAAATGTTACTCATCTGCCTGTGCTCACATCTGCTTTTCCAAGCTCTCTCAGTTTTAAGGACAGCCCAGGAAGTCCACTATTTAAACGGGTTGCCTTACAAATGTTCGTTTGGGACTTGAACACATGTTTTCTATGGGAAATGTTATAAAGGGTGGTTAGTTTCCCAGGCTAGTCCACCGATATCTATTTTACCCATAATGCAGCTGAAACACTGAAATGTAGTAGAAAACAATACTGTTGTAATACTAGTAAATACTTGAATGTTATGTACATTTTTCTCTAGTTAGCTTTAAACCTGTTAAGATGCCCTTGACTTGCCATAATAGATTCAACATCACCAACAGTTTTACCTCATTCTTTCCTAAGGTCTTCATAAAAATGACTCTTTCTTGAATCGACATAAGCAGCAAGGCTAACAGTCACTTCCCACTGATGTTGGTCTTAAACCACAAAATCAACACGCTTCACATTGCAGTGATGATATTACTTCTTTTTTATGTTGATTATACAAGTGCAGACCCCCTCAGATGGTCTAAAACTGGATTTGTCTTCGACTAACTTTAAACCAAGAGAAAACCTAACCTGTGATGCTGGTTCTCTTTTCTATCAGCTAGTGAATTTAAATAGCCTTTCCTTAATACACGTGTATCATTATGACTACTCTCATGCTTATCTATGATTGTGGTCTGTTTTTGTCCCTCACGCTGCTTTCACCAGCTCAAACATGGCTGAAAATATGCTTTTCATCTTTACACTGCTTTGGATCTTGCGTTCAAATGGAAAAAAGGAATGGTTTTTACTGCAGAACGTTTTTGACTGGCACCTTTAGTGTGCAGACCTCAATCCAATTGAAAATCTAAACTCAAGATGGCAGTTTGCTAATGGAAACCAATAGGTCTGAAGGAGTAATTCTGCATGGCCAACTTTCCCTTGGATGTGCCAGAACCTAATAGCGCAATACAGGAGGCATCTGGTCAGTGTAATCCCTGCGAGGGGAGGATTTGCAAAATATTAATTACAGAGTAGTGAATAAATATGGCCCTCATCTCTTCAGGACTTAAACCTACTTTACAACTATGACTTTGCTTTTGCAGTGCTGTTGCTGTAACATTTTAAGAATTTTTCAAGCAGGAAATTATATTTGATCTTTATTGACATGACAAATGAATTTTAAGATTAATTCACTTCTCTGGTAAAGGTGTGTTTAACAGACCAAACCTGTCAGGTTTAATCTGGTGTTATGTAGAATATTAAGTGCATATTTACTTTAGTCTGAGGGAGATGCTTCTGAAGTTTTAAATCTTTCCTGGCACTATACTATACTTTCAATTTTCATATTATTCACAGAAACTCATCGTAAAGTGAGATTTCACATCGATAGACTGAAAATGTATTTGTTCTCTTTATGTGTGCACAAACAAAATCACTTCTAAAATGGTGTAACGGTTTTCAAATCTTGCTAAGGAACATAAGGGAACAAGTAAAGGTTTATTCCTGCTGAAAAGAGAACAAAAGAAAGAACGTTTTGGCTGTGTAGCCTGATAACTGAAGAAGGCTCCACAGCCGACACGTTGTTTCTTCTCTCTTCAGCAGGAATAAACCTTTACTTGTTCCTCTGCAGCCGACGCACACTGATGCAGCTCCCTACTTGAACTACTGACGGAACAGAAGTACAGGTTAATATTTTATTAAAGTTGTTACCAATGTGTCTCATCAACAGTTTTCTTCATGAATGCTATTTTTTCTTGTCTTATAAAGCAATGTGGATCATGTAGCAGGAGAGCACTGAAAAAACAGATTTACACCAAAGGCATTTTTGATGGTTTTATTTTTCTTGTAAGCGGACACCCTGCTTTCTGGCCTCGTGTCTGATGGTCCTCTGGTGTTCTCTGTCCCTTCTAGGGTTCCCAGTTCCTCATGGCCTGCTAGTGGGCAGTGACGGAAGGAGCATGGTCAAGCACCAACCCCTGCAGGTGTATGAGAGGCAGCTGTGTTTGTCATGCCTGACGGGGATCTACGGGTGTCGCTGGAAGCGGTACCAGCGGTCACATGATGACACTACAAAGGTGAGCACGGGGCCAGGACTTACAGGTGGCAAAAGGAATGCTTGATGGAGCACTCAATAACTTCACCATCAGTGGAATCATTTGCTACTGCTTATATTCAGCATTAGTCTTTATTAATATCTGTGATGATATGTCATCTTTATGCTAATGCATATCTGTACTTAAAGGGGGTGTTTGGGGGGTGGTTTTGTGGATGACTCCAGACCTATGGAAGAATGATAGAAATGCAAAACAGGATGATAAGATTCCTTTCACCTGTTTTAGCACATACTTCTAAAATGCAACTTGTTCAATGACACAGCGAGGAAAATTTACTTTCATAGTTGTGATACCTCTAGTGGTGACCAGTGAACCTTGGCCTTTCTGACAGCCGTGTGGAAATGCATTCTTATATGCGTCTCTATATCAAATGCTCACACGGCTGGTGTGGTTGTTTGTTGCAGATCCGCCAAAAGCTACACACCTCAGGCACTTGAACCCTCTTACCAAAGAGATTTTTTTTTCCCCCTTTTGTCGAGCAGTCTGCTCTCACCTCAGTAAACCCTCGAATACTTTACTTTACGGTTCAACCCACACTGGTACTCTAGCTCCTGAAGGGAAGAAACCGTAAACCACTGGAAATACGCATGGTCAAACCCTGCACATTCTGGCACCGGTTACACCTAGAGAATGTTTTAAGAATGTTTTATTTTCAATAAATCAGAATACATTACTTTTAACCTTGTAGTTAATCCTTGATTAAGTGCACATTCCATGCCTAGCTTTAAGAGGCTTTGGATTCAATATAAATTTGCAATAATTACACTTAAGTCGGAATCAATGCGTTTGTTACTACAACTTTTGAAGGCTTTTGGAAGTCAAATACTGATCATTTTGCAAGTTTGCAAATTTTCTGAATCAGCTAGTCCTGTGTGAGATTAATGATATTATCCAAATGGCATATTGGTACACCCTGTGACAAAAGATTTTGCTGTTAGTAGATGAGAAGCTTTTCCCCCCAGTGCTTTCAAAGGAAAATGGATTGTTGAACAGTGTCAGTTTCAACATTACTCGTTTTTTTAACCTGAGGTTGCTGAATCCATGTCTTTAATAGCTGTGATCTTGTTTTTTAATACACTTGATTCATAAAGTGCGTGGAGTTTGAAAATCTTCTGTTTCTGGTACAGACGGGCTAGTAGAACAATTACAGATTTTTAAGTGAAAGTTATTTAATTGCTTAATTTTCTGGACTTTGATGGCTGTGACTCAGGTTATTTTTTATATTCAACACTGAATGAAATGGATCTCTGGTACAGAACCATGAAGGATACACACACATTTTACATTTCTCTACAGATGTCTGAATAATGTATCCCCTTTTTTGCTGATTGGACAGAAAATGCTCTTCCAGTAACAATAGAAACGGGAAAAGGAAGCCAGTCTCTGATAGTATTCTTCCACAGCCCGTCTGCACATCCAGACTTATCAAGCGTTGCAACTGCTCAGTGGGCTGTCCAGCCTGGGGGCTCCATCTATCTTTAGTATCTCCCTTGCTTTGAATTTATGATGACAGTAACACTGACATTAATGATAGGAATAGGAATTAAGGAATTCAACATTGAAAGCAGATGCAAAGTCTCATTTAAATTTACTAATATATAGTCATCCAAAATCATGCTTTTGTTTGTTAGAGATTGTTAAAGATTCAGTAATGGAATTTATATTGTATGACAGTAAAAAGCAAAAACCCTGGTTTAAGCATTTCTGGTCTGTATTATATTCCTATTCATGGGTAAGATTATTCACTTGGCTTCTGTAACTGTGAATTTGAATTTATAATGTATATAATATAATGTTTCTTTATTAGCCCTATACAATTTCTTGCATTAGGAATGCGTCTTTTCACATACCCCAGCTTTTCTCCATGGAGACACAGACACAGAGAGAGAAGCTTGGGGTCAGAGCGCAGGGTCAGCCATTGTACGGCGCCCCTGGAGCAGTTGGGGTTAAGGGCCTTGCTCAGGGGCCCACAGAGTAGGATTCCTCACCAGCCACGGGATTTGAACCGGCAACCTTCCAGTCACAGGTGCAGATACTTAGCCACAGAGCCACCACTCAAATTGAACCTTTTGGCTGTAATGTGTAGTGTAGTTGAATGGAAGATGTGCCTGAGAATAGGCAGACTGATAAACTGTGCTTTAGGATGAGGCGGCATCTGTGCAGCACTGAGATCATGGGCCTGATTGGTAATGCAGTGGGAGAGATCTGAGAGTCTGATGGCACATCCCACCCAGTGTCTGGGCTTTAGGTGGGCAGAGATTCTCCAGAAAAGCCTGGCACACATTTCAGTGCCAATTCAGCTTGAGTCTTTTAAAAATAATAGCTAAAACACCCACCAGTTCTGTAAATGTCATAATCCAGGTGTTAAGGTGAGTAACATCTTTGATGGCAGGTGAATGTCCTCACAAAAGGGGCTGCAGATTTGAACAGCTCAAATGTTCAGCTTAGAGCTGGACAGGGCAAAAACCTCTTGAAATATTTATCCTCTTTTGGTGCTTTCAGGCATTACTCCTGAGTAATGTGGACCTCCCTGTTCAGGAAGGGCTGAGGCTGGTACTGACCTGTGTGCTCAGGGCCAAGAAGCACTGTCTGGGCAAGATGGCATCAGCTGCCTGTTGTTTATGTACATCCTTGAAATGCGTGAAAGCTGCTCTATAGCTAATAGAATATTCGTGTCCTCTTACAGAGGACGGTGTGTTGTCTCTGGGGGGCTAACGGCTTGCCTGGGAGGCTTGTTCTGTGCCAGTTCTCCTGCTCTGCTAAAAGCCAAGTCTGCCTCCACCACTGCTCCCCAGGTTGAATCCAGGCAGCCTGCGCTCTGCACACCTCTGCTCCAGCACTCAGGTGGTGAAAGGGCTGCTTCATTCTCGCAGTCTCCCCGCGTCCTGAAACAAGTGCTACTGTATGTTGCTTCAAGGGCTGCAAAATTTACAGCAGTTGTCAGTTCAACAATTATGCAGCTACAGGGAACGCTTTGAGGTAGCTCAAATAATAGCTGAATAATCTGAATAATTATTCAGGTGCTGAATCATCTGTGTGAAATCATTATTGTGAATATTGAAAGGAACAGGGCTTTAGTTCTCTTCAACTGCCCCCTCCCCCCCAACCAACCCTTAAATGACTCTGCAAGAAGAAGAAATGTCCAAACGGTATATCCTCCATAATAGAAGACTGCCTTTGTTGCACA